AGGGTATTGATCTACCTTCGAATGGCCTAGTGGACTGTGACAAGGAGAGTCCTAACAATAACCGATATTTTGTAGAACTCCTGTTCGCATCTGTTTTCCGTCCAGCGTTATTAAGATTCCCGAATGAATTAATGGACGAATAAACACGGCAATGAAAAGAAACTTTCCTGTAGTTTATTCGGTTCCACCATGTGTCAGTAAATTTTTGTTGAGTTAGTCAGAAATGTTATCACTATCCTGGTCACAACTGACCTTCTGTAAGACGGGCTGGGAAAATCGGTGACGGGACCGAGTCCTCCTGGAAGTCTCCTCAAGATTACAGGTACACCTTACTGATGAGTGTTTCGTAACACGAAATTGAGGTCCAGGGTTCCCTGTCCACCATCTCCCATTACCACCTTAATACTAAACAGTTTATATCCATTTTAAAGTTTTGACTACTTTTAACTTTTTTGTTTGTCACTATCTTTTCTTTATTCTTTAGAACCCGTTTACCTTGAACTCTTAGATGTTCTACCAACCAGTGTGTTACTAAACGTATTCCATGTTAAAATATTAGATCAATGTGTAATATGCATGGAAAAGTATTGTATTGGAGATGAAGTGATACGACTTCCATGTTTTCATGCATTTCATGATCATTGTTTTGTAGATTGGATTTTAGAGGTAACTTTTAATACATTAGATATAATTATCAGTATTATTATTTTTAAGTGTAGGGTTGTGGAGTTTGTTGAGTTTTATTGAAATTATGAACACATCAATGTTAGACAATCATTGAAAAACTGAAAGCACTGAACGATTGTTTTCATCTAGTATGGGACTAGTCAGTATTGCACATTCACAAACTCTCAGTAGGCAATCGCACCTAGAACTTGTAGTCTTGTGTGCAAATGCTTAATCTTTAGACCACTGAACTGGCATTTTAGAGGTGTTTATGTTTAACTTCTATCAATACACGATATTGACCAACCGTTTTCCATTGTGTTCGGTGAGTAACCGTCTTAAGTGGTGTTGTGGAGATTGCTAAGCATGCATTTTCATGTCACTATCAGTTTTTGATTTGCCAAACAATAAAAACAAGGAAATATTGGACAGGTGTTCCCACCTAACACAGCACTCCTCGACAATACGGATTCAAGATCTCACCACAGACCGAGCTTAGGGCCTCATAACGAATGTCACTGGTGTGCACTACTGAGAACTCACACTTGAACGGAGCAGCTGTTATGTACTCCCAGGTTTTTAGCGGTTGTCTAGTCAAAGTTAGTCAGTAATGTGATATATCAAATAAGATATGAAAACTTTCATTAATTCGTGGAACTTTCATCGTTCTTCTGAACGACATCATCAGTACGAAGGTAGGACAATAGTTTGTTTTAACTGAATGGAAGAACTCACTTCATTTGGTCATATAATCTGACTTATAGATATACGGAATGAGAATGTAACAGATTTTAGCGAAAATAAAAAGACTTTCAGGTAAGTTTATGAAATGTAAGGGGTTTCTAGAATAGTTCTAATTATCAATGATGTCATAATTCAAACTTTTAAATCCTGATAAAGATGATCATGTATTACGGTAAGTTCTAATTACAAACAAATGAAGGATCCATTAGTCTGAACAAATACAATCAGGAGCTCTAAAAGATCGGACGTCTAATGTAAATTGATACTTCGATACTTCAATAATCCACATGTCACTATGTGACAGAGAAGATGAGACTTTCAAAATAGGCTTATATTCCGAACAGAAATCAAAAATTTTACCGGAATTACCTTGATTATCTAGTAACATGCAGTGGACTTGGAACATGAGCGACCGTCCACCATTGTCTTCAGTGAGTTACAAACTTACAACAGACCTGAATGAACTCTACTGGTTACTGCTTCTCACTAGAACTCCAGGAAATACCTCTTGAAGCCAGGCATTAGCGAGGATATGGTGATTCTTATCAGAAAGATGGCGGTGGACAGTGGCTCGATTTCATCGATCGATTGTAGTTACACACTGACACCGCTGGATGCCAGCTCAGTGGTCTAGATGTTAAACAGTCGCGCGTGAGACTGATACGTCCTGTGTTCGAATCCCACGAGGCGGGGTCACTGTTGCACACTGCTTAGGAGTCCCATAATAGGACGGGACGACCTTTCAGTGCTTCCAGGTTTTCTATGGTGATCTAGCTTTAATTGACAGTGAGACCTATGATTTATGGACAACCTTTGAGTGGCGTTAAGGTGACCTTGAGAGTATCCACCTACAAACTAGAACTATAAACCAGTGTGAGGAATTCGAATTATGATTTACAGTTGATAGTTAAGGTTAAGAATTAGATTTCAGCGTTTTCATCACGAACTGATATCAGCTATAGTGCCAAAACTCTATGAATGAGTGAATTTCGTGCCAAAATCCAAAACGTTTTTCATCTTATCCTTATTTGATCTTCTACATTCATTCTACATCATAATGATGATCCATATATTCAGAATTATTGATTTGTATTTTATATATTTTCATATGTATTTTCTTCAAGTGTTTAGATTGTCCAATATGCCGATGGCCAGCATTTGAATTTGAATAATACGAAAAGGGAATCAAATGAATACAATTTCTATTCTAAATTCCATTGAACTATCTTCTTCTTAAAGATGAATGTACATAGTTCTTTCATTTATTGAGTATAAAAAAAAGATATTGATTTATTAGAAGAAAATATGTTTGAGTTATATTTTTATGATGAAGATGGATAGTTGCTAGGGGTGGAATCTAGTTTGATGTATGTTTCGTCCTAGTTGGGATTCATCAGTTGGATAGACTTGTATTCCACAGATGATGATCACTTCAGGACTCGAACCGGTTATCATTCTCTTTAAACTCTACCATGTTATCTACTTAGCTATTGAGTCCAGATAGTCAAAAGTTTATACAATGAGGGGGGGATAAAGTTTTAATTTATTTTTGTATTGTTTGTTTGAATCTTTACATTGATGTTTAGGATTGTAAATGATCAGTCTTTTGTTAGCATATGTGCATACTGTGAGTATTACATCGATATTGCCTTAATTTAGAAGCATTATAAGCAAAGATGGATAGTGGCTACTAGTGGAATCCAGTTTGATGGGTGTTTCATGTTTTGCTTAGAATGTTTGTGAATTAAAGCAATATCGAGGCAATCTGCACAAGATGTACATATGCCAACAACAAACTGATCAATTGTAGTCTTAAACATCAATGGGACGATTCAAGTAAACAATACCAAATGAATTCAAACTTTATCCGATTGTACAAGCAAGTGACTAATAGAACTCAGTAGCTAAGTGGATAACGCGATGGAACGGTACTGATTTCGAGTTCCAGAGTGAACATCAAGCTCTGAGATGCAGGTACATCCATTTGACGAGTCCCAAATAGAATGAAACACTCATCCTGGATTCCACCGATAGCCACTATCCATATCTGCTTATAATACTTATGAATTAAGACAATATCGAGGCAATACGCATAGTATATACATATACCAACAAGAGACTGATCAATTGCAGTTCTCAACATCAATAGAAAGATACAAGTAAACAATAACCAAGTGAATTATGTATGATGGTTTTGTGTTGTGTTTTTTTTTTAATGTAAAAGTCAATTGCTATTCGAGATTACTAGCTAACTGGTTAACGTGTTTCGCAATGTACTAGGTCCGAGTCCCCAAGTGAACATTAACATTGAAGTGAAGACATATCAAATTGATGAATTCCTAATAGAATGAAATGCGCCTCCTGGGTCCTACTGCTAGTTACCATCGAACTTTACTGAATAAAGGATTGATGTTCATATTAAAATGAATCTTAAACGAATGTACAAGTTGAAGTCACGAACAGATCAACATTGGAAATCTGGAAGCACAGAACAGTCACTTTATCCTAGCATAAGACTCTTCGGTATTACTCACCCAAAAACCCGAATCTTTAATCAAATCCAAAACCTTTGATCTCTTGCGCGAATACTCTATCTCTAGATAAATAAACCAGCATCCAATGATCTTAATATGTAAACTCAATCAATCCAATGATATTGCACAATTATCTTCTATTATCTTTGATGAGTAAATGTATCACACACGACACGGATTAAACTCTACTGATCATGCCTTCTCACTAGAACTCCAGGTATTACATCTTAAAGCTAATCACTAGTGCGCCCATAACTGTATGGGGAGATTTGTGGTACTTATTACCTTAAACCTTTACCAAGAACCAATCAACATTGAGGTCTACAGGACAAGCTGTGAACCATATGTAGAGAAATTTGAACATTTCAATTCTATCTGAAGTTTACGCTGATGATGATGTTGTTTAGAAGAATGATGAAAGCTTCACGACCAAACCATCTAGAGAACAAAACACTATCAAAATCATCCACTTGAGTTACAAATCTTCTCCACCATCTTAATGGAATAGTCCAATTTGTTACATCACAAGGAGGTGTATCAATGGTATCAGTGATAGAAAAAAACACATTTGGTAGTAGAAAAAAAACTCAACTTCCAGAAGAATAAAAAGATCCTTGAAGAGAAAGGTATAGACCAATTCAGTGTGGCCACATTGTCACTGGTTACGAACAATGTTAATAAACTCATTCAACTATTAGCTATGATGATTGCTCGAACCTTATTCAGGCAGTTTTTACCTACGAATATGATTCTCATCAATAGATAGTGACTTCTATAGAAAAAGTTCTTCAGCAAGCCTCTACGTACTTTTCTTAAACTTATTATCCATTCATTGTAAGCGAAATCGATTTAGATATCTTGTAATTAAAGCTCCGCCTGTAGCTCTTATAGGGTTGCTGCCGGTCCCAAGCCCGGGTAAAGGAGGAGGGTTGGGCATGGGGTTAGCGTCCCCATCCCGTAGAAAACTAACTCGCTAAAAAAACGCTTACCAGAAAAAATAATCCAAACCATTTTAACTCTGCCCTGGGAGTTAGAAGGTCTTCATTTAGAAGAATTATGACGCTTCATGGTGAAAGCCGAGTTCCTTCGGAAGCCACGAGGCCGATGCCCCTTCTAACAACCAGAGCAAAAATTTTTATAGGTACATGGAACGTTCGAACAATGTGGGAAACCGGGAAGACCAGTCAAATATCAATGGAAATGAGGAGATACAACTTAGCAGTACTGGGAATCAGCGAAACCCACTGGACCCAAGCTGGACAGAAAAGGCTAGCTACGGGAGAGATGCTGCTATACTCCGGTCACGAACAGGAAAATGCTCCACACACTCAGGGAGTCGCTCTTATGCTGTCCAAAGTAGCACGAAATGCACTTGTAGGATGGGAATCTCACGGATCCAGAATCATCAAAGCATCATTCAAAACAAAGAAGGAGGGGATCTTAATGAATATTATCCAATGTTATGCACCCACCAATGATAGCAACGACGAAATTAAAGATCAGTTCTACGAGCGGCTGCAGTCAATCATTGAGAAATGCCCAAGAAAGGACCTAACTATTCTGATGGGAGATCTAAATGCCAAAGTCGGAATAGACAACACTGGATATGAAGATATTATGGGACGACATGGACTGGGAGAAAGAAACGAAAATGGAGAAAGATTTGCAAATCTATGTGCATTCAACAAATTGGTCATAGGAGGCACAATATTTCCACACAAGCGTATACACAAGGCTACATGGATCTCACTGGATCACACTACAGAGAACCAAATAGATCATATTTGCATCAATAAAAATTCCGAAGGACAATGGAAGATGTAAGAACCAGGAGAGGTGCTGACGTAGCTTCAGATCACCACCTAGTTGTAGCCAATTTGAAACTGAAGCTAAAAAAGAACTGGACAAGTGGACAAACAGCAATACAAAGGTTCAATACAGCCTTCCTTCGAGATACTGTCAAACTCAATGAATTCAAGATAGCTCTCAACAACAGGTTCCAAGCCTTACAAGATCTACTGAAAGAAGAAGAAACTACTATGGAGGACAACTGGAAAGGCATCAAGGAAGCATTAACTTCAACGTGTCAAGAGGTTCTCGGTCTAAAGAAATACCATCATAAGGAATGGATCTCTATAGAAACACTGGACAAGATCAAAGAAAGGAAGAACAAGAAGGCAGCAATAAACAACAGCCGAACACGAGCAGGAAAAGTCCAAGCACAAGCTGAATACATAGAAGCAAACAAACAAGCGAAGAGGAGCATTAGAGCCGACAAGAAGAAATACGTGGAAGAACTAGCAACGACGGCAGAAAAAGCTGCTAGAGAAGGAAATATGAAACAGCTTTACGATACAACGAGGAAACTATCAGGGAAATACAGTAAACCAGAGAGGCCGGTCAAAGACAAAGAAGGCAAGCCAATCACCGAAATTCAACAACAGCCTAACAGATGGGTAGAATACTTCGAAGAGCTCCTGAATAGGCCGGCTCCAATGAATCCACCGAACATCGAAGCAGCACACATAGATCTTCCTATAGATGTCAATCCACCAACTACGGAAGAAATTAGAATGGCCGTCAGACAAATCAAAACCGGGAAAGCAGCGGGACCCGACAACATACCAGCTGAAGCACTGAAATCAGACATCGAAGCAACCACAAGCATGCTTTATCTTCTATTCAAAAAGATTTGGGAGGAGGAACAAGTGCCGATGGACTGGAAAGAAGGAAACCTCGTCAAGATTCCAAAGAAAGGAGATCTGAGCAAATGTGAAAACTACAGAGGCATAACACTACTGTCAATACCAGGGAAAGTCTTCAACAGAGTGTTGCTGAACCGGATGAAAGATGCAGTAGACGCCCAACTTCGAGATCAACAAGCTGGATTCCGTAAGGATCGGTCGTGCACAGACCAAATTGCAACACTACGGATCATCGTCGAACAATCAGTTGAGTGGAACTCGTCACTATACATCAACTTCATTGATTATGAAAAGGCATTCGACAGTGTAGATAGGAGGACATTATGGAAACTTCTTCGACACTACGGAGTTCCTGAGAAGATTGTCAATATTATCCGGAACTCATACGACGGACTACAGTGCAAAGTAGTGCATGGAGGACAGCTGACAGATGCATTCCAAGTAAGGACCGGAGTCAGACAAGGCTGTTTACTCTCTCCCTTCCTCTTTCTTCTGGTGGTCGACTGGATTATGAAGACCTCGACATCTGAGGGAAAACACGGAATACAATGGACAGCTCAGAATCAATTAGACGATTTGGACTTCGCAGATGACCTAGCCCTCCTATCACGTACACACGAACAGATGCAGATGAAGACAGCCAGTGTAGCAGCAGTCTCTGCATCAGTAGGCCTCAGCATACACAAAGGGAAAACTAAGGTCCTCAAATTCAAAGCGGAGAACACCAATCCAATCACACTTGATGGCGAAACTCTGGAAGATGTAGAGTCCTTCACATACCTGGGAAGCATCATCGATGAACAAGGAGGATCCGATGCAGACGTAAAGGCGAGGATCGGCAAAGCAAGGGCCGCTTTCCTACAATTGAAGAACATATGGAACTCAAAACAACTTTCAACCAATATCAAAGTAAGAATCTTCAATACGAACGTCAAGGCAGTTCTACTGTATGGAGCTGAAACTTGGAGAACTACAACAACCACAATCAAGAAAGTACAAGTATTTATAAATAGCTGTCTACGCAAGATACTCAACATCCATTAGCCGGATACCATCAGCAATAGCCTTCTGTGGGAGAGAACAAACCAACTTCCAGCTGAAGAAGAAATTAGGAAAAGACGATGGAAATAGATAGGACATACATTACGCAAATCGTCAAACTGCATCACGAGGCAAGCCCTAACTTGGAATCCTGAAGGGAAGCAGAGAAGAGGAAGGCCAAAGAACACATTACGTCGGATAATAGAAGCAGATATGAAAACGATGAATTACAACTGGACGGAGCTAGAAAGGATTGCCCAGGACAGGGTTGGATGGAGAATGCTGGTGAGCGGCCTATGCTCCTTTACGAGGAGTAACAGGCGTAGGTAAGTAAATAAGTATCTTGTAATTAAAGCTAGAAAGATATGCTCAGACGACAGTATAAACAAGAAACTAAAGCTTATTCATAATATGTTGATTAAAATGGTTCAGCCAGAGTTTTCTGAAGAAATACTCTCATATAGTATATATGCAGTATTTCCTTAGGAAATTGACCCACTGACCCCCCAGTGAAATTTACTTGACCTTTAAGTGACTTCTGATTGCCATCGATTGACCTTTTCACTAGGCTACTTCTGGCTGACCCTGAATATCAGTTTGTAAGAAAGTTCTCTTCCTGAAGCTAATTCATCAGAGATATAGCTGATGATGTGCTACGAGACAGAGTGACTATAGCAATGAAGAGGATTTTCGATACAACTAACCTTTGTCTATTGTTCTCTAACCGATCTATGGTGATTCTCCAATTAAAGGGTAAGTTACCCAGTCTTGCCACATCCATTTATATCTACAAATTTAGCTACTCCTGTGGAGAAAGCTATAATGGGTGCACAGTCACACATCTGGGTCAACGAGTTAGTGAACACCCTCCCTTTGTTGTTAAGAAAAGATACTGTCGAGACAATATGCAGCTCTGTTCTATCACATTTGATCTATAGCGGTCATGTAGAAGATAAAAATAGGTCATTTAAAGTGATTTATTATATTCTTTCTACTTTTCCTTATGGTGTTCAATATCGTCTCTTACACATAGCAGAAGCTACAAGGATTCGAATTAACAACATAAATCTTTGTATTCATAAAAGATTCGTAACACTCTTATCTCTTTCTTGGCCAAATCGACTTTAATCAATGATTTTATTTATTATCAGAATAAGGATTTATGGCGATTTTAGTAATTTTAATAGTTGGATTCAATCGTGGATGGGCGCTGCTGATGACTACCATACTAGGACAAAACGGTTGTCTAGTGCTTCCAGATTTTATTGATTATTATTTTTTATACTCTTTGTTTGTTCTTTTTCAAATATATGCTTCACAGTCTAATCATATGATCACCTCTTATTTTAATTAATGTTATATCAGCGTGTTTACTTTTACAAGTGATTGACCTACTTTCTATTATGAAACGTTGATTTAAGCCTTTAATTATTTTTATCACAACTAGTACACCTGACATCGCCCCCAAATGCCCTGGTAAGATCGAGAGTGGGAAGAGTCAGCTCTTCCTCTACAAATCCTCTCACATAGCCACGTGCATACAACAACTAACAGGAAAGTACTACTCACTGCATTCTCGTCCAAGGGATGTTGTTTACGAAATTGAGAGGACGAAAAGAGAATGTTTGGCGCTTTAACCGGATTGGCGGATATGGAGGATCCATCTAGGGGAGTTGGAAAACCCTCACTTCAAACAAACGGTGCACATGGGTTTCATGATCCTGAAGGAACAACTGGCGTATAAGGCAATCGTTGGGCACTGGCTACCATGAAACTGAATCTCTCAAGGTTGCATCACTGCCTTATGTATGAGACCTTTAGGTCGAAGTCTATGGTTGTGTCTCCCTAATAAAACCACCTGATTCGGTTTGGGCACCCGGTCAGTATACCAGCCCTCACACAAATCGAATGATTTATGTGACGGATATCTATTTGATGCCCCCTTATACCAATGTTTATGTTTTAATAATAATAATAATAATAGTGATAATAATAATGATAATAATAATAATACCTGACGTCACACTACCAATTTATACATTTCACTTATTATGTTTATTTATGTAATCTATTCTACTGTTATCGTTAACTCAAAAACTACCTTCATCGGTTTTATAATTTCATATCCGTTTATAAATATTCATTTATTCACAATTGATTGATCACTGGGTGCTGATCAATGTTATGTGTGTCAAGTCCTTCTTAGTGCAGCTCGAATTCTATCGACCAAGTTGGAATGTGGCTATTAGTCTAGGTGACTCCACATTGCATGTACTATGTTGTGATAATATGGTGATTGGAGGTAGTCAACAGGGAACCCTGGACCCAGGTCTCGTGCCACTTGGCACTCTCAGCAAGGTGTATCTGTAATCTTGAGGGAACTGGTGCTTCCTGACGGATTCGATCCAGACCAACCAATCAATTGTGACTACATCTCAGTCCTACAGGAGGTCGCTTGCGGCCCGGATAGCCCAGTGGTAACGTCTCTATGAAGCTGGGTGAAACTGAATTGAATCCGTCAGGGAGCACCAGCTCTCTTAAGATTACAGGTACGCCTTGCTGACAGTGCCAAGTAGCACGAAACCCCGGTTAACAGGGTTTCCTGTTGACTACCTCCAACCACCACCTTAAATATTTATGTATATTAGAGTAAAGCTTGATGAGAATCTAATTGTAAGCAATATTGTTCGCTTACATCTATATAGTTCTGACTTACAATATTGGAATTTTTATCATTTAAAGTACTTGAAAATTGTAGAATATTTTGTCTCAATCGTTTTATCTAAGTGTACACTGGGTTTTTTTCTTAAGTCTGGAGACAATTATCAAATCAAAGGAATTAACTAAGACTATTTACTAGTTGAGTTCATGAGTCAATGTGAGCTAGACAACCATTCAAAACCTGAAGATACTGGACTGCCGTTTCTTCCTAGTATGGGACTCCTCAGTAGTGCTCATCCACGAGAAACGAACCTAGGACCTTCTGTTTCGTGCGGTAACGCTTAATCTGTAGACCATTGAGTCGACATCAAATCTTGTTGTAAGGTTCGAGTCCCACGTACAGGATTGCAGATGCGC